AACCCTTGAGAGAAGGACTAGGAGCACACCCCAAGCCTGGTGGTGGACATGGTGTGGGCTGGGGGCTGGCAAACTGTGGCTGGACCACATCCTGACTTTGTACAGCCCAGGAGCTAAGGATGGTTTCCATGCTATTTAATGATTTTTTAAAAAAAATCAAAAGATGAACAGTATTTCATGTCACATGGACATTATATGAAATGTGATTTATCATGTAGCTCAGGGAAGTTGTGTTTGAACACAGCCACACTTATGTGTTCACTCATCATTCGTGGCTGTTTCCTCTTGCAACAGCAAAACTAAGCAGTTGTGACAGACGATGTGGCCCGCAAAGCTGCACGTATTCTCACCTGGCTTTTACCGATACGTTTGCTGACCCTGGTCTACTCCGATATTTTTTTTCAAACTCTGGGTCACAACCCTCAAGTCAGTCATGAATCAATTTAGTGGAACCTGATGATCAGCATTCAAGATGGAAAAAAAAAAAAACAGAAAGATGGCAGAAAGTATCAGAGTACATCATTTGTTGTAAGGCAGTTTTGCTCCTTATAGATTTTTTTAAAATTTCACTTAAGTATGCATATGTGCCCTCAGTCATGATGTGAACTCTTTCTTTGATTTATGGGTCTTTGTTCAAAACGTAAAGAAAGCTACCAGTCTAGATGAACCTAGGAAATTTACTGTTGTGTACCTGGATATTGGGGATGACATTTGGACACATGCCGCTCAGCTACGTCTGCTCAGAGCGTGGTTGTCTGTGCCCAAAGTCCAGCTTCAAGCCAGGTGGGTGTGGATTCCCCACTGCATCTCCCTCCCCCAGAGCACTGTGGTCCAGGATGGTCGAGATGCAATGCCTGATCCCAGGTAGGGCCATTTCCTCATTTCTGCCCAATTTTTCTCCCATTTGAAGAGGGAGGTTTCAATTTTCCCAGAGGGCAGTGAATAAGGAATGTTTGCTCTTGAGCAAAGAAAAAAACAAGCAAGACCCAGGACCAAGGCCACAGAGCTCCCTTCCTGACCCGTTCGATTGGCAGGTGACACGGAAGTGACAAAGGATGGCTCTTGTGCAAGGTGACAAGAGGCAAGATCCAAGGAGGCTTTGTGTTTACAAACATATTGCCCAAAGTGTCATGGATATCATTGAAAAACATCAATTATTGATCGAGGGTGACAGATCACGGGTCCCAGCCATTAAAAAAAGAACAGAAATTCAGGTGTGGAGGAAGAAAAGGGGAAGAATGTGCAGAGGGTGGAAACACTGGTGTAACATCCCCACTGCTTCTCCCCTCCCCGTCCCGACCTTGCTATATCTCCTTTTTCCTTTCCCTCTGCGTCTCTACCTGCTCGTCACTGCCGGTTCTTCTTTATGCAATGGAAGGAAAATTATTGATTTGTTCAAGAGCATTTGCCCCAGTCTTTACAGGCTACCTGGTTTCCCTTTCTTTTCTCTCAACTGTGTCTGGCATGACTATGAACTAGACAAAGTAATGACTCCATGATTTAGTGCTTAGCCAAGCTTCCTATTCTCAAAGCTGTTTAATCATCAGCATCCTCCATAAAGACCTTTAACAACCAGATAACAAAAGCCTTTACAATACAGTTTGCTTAGCTGGAAGCAGACTCTTCCAGGCCTTAAGAACTAAGCTGGGTTCAGTCCATCTTGATTCTGGGAGTTTGGGAAGGTCAAGGGGACAGGTTCATCAGGAGGCTTTGACCCTCATATCATAGTATAGAACAGATCACACCATCCTGTAAGTAAGAGCTATCCACAGGTAAGGCTTCCAAGAATTTAAGGTGAATATGCCTTTTCAGTCCAAGGGACCAAGGTAGACATCTGGGATGGAGAACCTTGGGGAAGAATGAATGAACCCTGATAGAGAGTGAGGAGAACCTTTATTAGGTTCAGGTCACTTTAGGATGTGAGAATGAGTGTGATGATAAAATAAAATAAGATAAAATACTATAATAAAGTAAAATAAAAAATAAAACCGACAGCAGCAGCGGGATGGCTTGGTATGGGTGATGGGGCTGCCAAGGGGTCTAGGGAGACCCGATCATCTAGAGGACAGAGTTGGCTGGGTGCTTGGTGGTAGATGATCACTAAGACTTTTTCAGTGCCCAGCATCTCTTATTGTAAATCAGCTCAAAAGAATCTTAAACACAAAAACTTTGGATTAGGGGAATTTGATCCTAGTAAACCAAAATGAGAGGGCTTCCCAGGTGGGTAAAGATATGCCTGCCAATGCAGCAGACACAGGTGTGATTCCTGGGTCAGGAAAATCCCTTGGGGGAGGAAATGGCAATCCACTCCAACGTTCTTGCCTGGAAAATCCCATGGACAGAGGTGCCTGGAGGTCTACAGTCCATGAGATCTCAAAGAGTAGGACATGACTTAGCAATTGAGCAGGCACACACACAAACCAAAATGACCTAGGACAAGAAACTTTAGAGGGTGAGAATCGAGCGGTTACAGAGAAAGCAGTTTCACCACAGAATTGAAGGAGGTAAATGGGGACTTAGTAAGAAAGAGAAGGGACCCAAGGACCAAGGAGCAGGCCAGCCTTCCTGGGGATGAAACAAGAACTGGCTGAGTACCAGCTGAAGTACCAGGGATAGTGCTGGCGGGGTCTCTCTCAGTCTCTCTTCTTCTTTCTCCCTCATTTATTTATTCACCCTTTATATTGGTGGTTTATTATTTGCCAAGCATTTTTCTGCATGGTGGAAATTCAGATTTAAAAGATACAGAAATAAAATCTCTGCCCTCAAGGAATTTGTGAGCTAAAGCATTATCTCATTCCTTATCTACCAGGCAGTGTCTATATCCTGAGATTTCTCATTTTGTCTCAAAACAGTTTAATCATTTAAAGGGCTGAATGTGTAGTTGGAGGGAACACCGTGGAACGTGAGTCCAGAAAGAGAGAGAAACAAAGGAGGCAGCCCCCATCCCTAGCCCGGGCCCTGTGAGGAGGGCAGCAAACCTGCTTGTCTAAGGCATGGAGAAAATGGTGCCCAAGAGCCCTCAGATGAGGCACCCCTTCTGCCATTTCATTTCTGATTGTCAGAGGCTCCCCAGTAGTCCTTTTCGCTAAGTGAGGTGTTAGGAGGATGGATTGGCCTTGCAGTGAGATGGGTAATGATCTTTGAGGCTGAATGGGAAGCAGGAATCCCTGTAGAGTGGTCACATGCTTGGCTTAAAGTCTGTGGATTTCTAGAGCAGGCAAAGTGGCATCCAACAACATTCCTCTGCAGAGACACAAACCCCTTCTTTGTCCTGATATTATCAGTAAGACTACACTCACTCTCTAATATTGGGCTCAGATCGCAGTTGAGTTTGTTCTACATTCTGAGATACTTCTCCTTTTCTGTAGTATGTGAAGAAGCACCCATGCTTGCAACAATAGCAGTGGGGGGTGAGAGTGGAGGGGTTGTGGTACCAGCCCATAAAGTGGTTAAAGAACTTCTATACAGGTGTCTTCTGTCCATCCATCCATCCATTCATCTACCCATCCTTCCACCCACCCATCCATCCATCCATGCATCTATCCAATCAACCAACCACCCACTCACCCCACCCCACCATACACTGGTTTACTTGAGAAGTATCTACTGACATCCCATAATGTGCCCTAAGCCACGCCCTAGGGACAGAGTAGAAAACAGTCCTACTTCACAGCTTCCCAAGCCCCAGGTGTGCCATTTATCTTTCCAGTGGCTTCCCTTTTACAAAGGCCTGACTTTTCATTCTTGAGCAGCCTTGCATCATTACAAGAAGGGAAGAGGCAACTAGTGGGATGAAGGCAGTTTATTGCTTCCAAGCAAAACTTACCCAATAGGAGTCAGAATAATGTGAGGTCATGATGAGAATCACCTCTTGAGTACATATCTCAAGAGGGATCAGGAATGAGGACAATGGAAAGGACCCAGGATGACAGGCTGGGTGGGATGGGGAGAGCCCTGGACTTAGTTAACTGTGTGCCCCCAGGGCAGTGGCTTCCCCAGTGGTCTCTGGCCTCCTTTGTAAGGGGAAGGGGTTGGACGTGTGAATCCTCAAGGTCCCCTCCTTCTGCAATATTGAGTGAATCTATTGATCTGTCTCTCACTGCCTCCACTCTCTTCTTTCCTGTTTTGTTTCTTGTCCTTTCTAGATCTAACCAGCTCACAAGTTGATGCAATCCTTCCTCCAGATTTTTTTTTTTTTTCTGAAAAGCATTCCATTTTGCCAGCATCTTAAATTATCGTCTCACCTGCTATTTTCTAATAGATCTTCCAGCGATGATGGCAGTAGTCATTTCTGCACTGGTCATTCTGGTAGCCACCAGCCCCATTGACAACTGAGCACTTGAAATGTGGCTAGTTTGACTGAGAAACTGGACCTTAAATTCTATTTAATTTTAACCTAACATATGAATCTAGTAACTGCCTTATTGTACAACAGCTCTAACCTCTTTTCCCAATGCTCTTTAGTCATTATTGTGTTTATCTATTTATTCTTCTTAAACAGATAGGTTGAGAGCTTGGTATCTGTATTCACATGTCCTTCACTTGAATTCTGCATAACCACTCATTAGCCATGGGACCTTGGGCAATTAACTTTTTCAAGCATCAGTTTCCTCACCTGTAAAATGAGAGTACTGATCATCCTACCTGCTAGGATTGTTGTACATATTAACTGAGCTAATGAACATAGAACATTTAGCATAGTGCCTGGCACTTTGTAATTGGTAGGTGAGTGTGGGTGCATGCTTAGTCACTTTAGTCATGTCCGACTCTTTGTGATGCTACGGACTGTAGCCCACCAGGCTCCTATGTCCATGGAGATTCTCCAGGCAAGAATACTGGAGTGGGTTGCCAGGCCCTCCTCCAAGGGATTGTCCCCACGCAGGGATAGAACCTTGGTCTCCTGCGTCTTCTGCATCACAGGCGGATTCTTTACCACTGGGCCACTGGGGAAGCCCCAGTTGTTAGATGAGACTAGGGAAGAAGAAGGAGGGGAAGAGGAGAGGGAAGAGAGAAAGAGGAGGGGAAGCAGGAGAGGAGAGGTATTTCATCATTTCTTTTCTATTAGAGTGAACTCTTGGGACTAAGACAATGTAACCTTTAGTTATTACCAGTTAGCGTATGAAGACCATACTGTCTCCCAGGGTTCACATAGGTATCCTTTTTATTTGATCCTCAGTCTCCGCCCAGTTACCAGCTCTCCCATGTAGGTGCCCAGATACCCCAGTCCTCTGCCCAAGGGCAGATACACACCTGCTACAGGGCCCATCCTGAGGAGGTAGGTGAGGAGAGCAGGCAAAATGGCATCCAACAGCCTTTCTTTGCAGAGACACAAACCCCTTCTTTGTCCTGATATCATCACTCTCTAGTATTGGGCTCAGCTTGCAGTCGAGTTTGTTCTACATTCTGAGACACTTTCCCCTTTTTGTAGTATATGAAGAAGCACCCATGCTTGCGTGAATAGCAGTGGGGGGTGAGAGCTGAATGATGGTCACCCCATTCTCACACACACATACATGTGCACAAATGCTCAGTTCTCATGGAATGGATGGACCCGCGATTTCATTCCTTCAGACACATCTGTGTCTCCTGCCGCTTGCTCCTGCTCCTCTGAGCGATGGGGAACAGGGAGATGACCCCATTAACTCCAGGCAGGTCCTTGTTGCTCAGCAGGTCCCCGACCCCCTTCAGACCTCCCCTCTGGCCAACCTGATCTCCCAAGTGACACCTCTCAATCCTGCCCCAGGAATCAGATGTCTAAATAGCAAATGAAAGATTAATGCCAGTGACCAAGATTGGGGCGTGAATAATTTAAAGGGCAGAAAAAGAGCCGGCTCCGCTTACCCACAGGGCTGCCTGGGCAGAGGTCAGGGAGAGGGTAAGGGCCAACTCCGGGCCAAGGATAGGAGGTGGCAGATTCTAATGAATTGGTCTGGGAGAGGGTTTGCTGTCCTTGGTGTTGGGAGGAATTTGTAGTCGCAACCAGGAAATGGGTTCTTTGGCAGTCTTATCAACCCAGAGCTTGTGGGTTTCATGAGGAGTGTGGGCAGTTTTCAAGTGGGTGCCACATTTCTGTGGATATTGTAAGGCTAGGGACTGCCCATCAGATGGATATCCTGTGCCCTTCACCATGAGGACCACCCCTCACCAGGGTCTCTGTCCTTGTTGCCTCCTTGAACCTGTCGGGCTTCAGGAGTCCACGTGACTCGGGTATTTGGTGGAAGGCTGCCTGGGGGCATGGGATTTGAGGTGAGGAGGGAAAAGCAGCCTGATGTTTGTGAATCGTGCATATATCTTACAGTCAATGTGGCTCTTGTCCAGGTAGGAAACCTCCATGTGGATATTTTCTTCCTCTCTTCCTACCACTTCGGTCACCTCCCTGCTATCCTGGCTTCCTATTAGGTTTACCGCAGCCTCTCCTCTGATGGTTTGGGGGTTTGATAAATATTTTCCCCTCCGGAAGTCTTTAGCAGTGCAGCAAGAAGGTTACATGATAGATTCTCCCCATCACTTAATTGAAGCCATAAAAAATGGAAAGAGAGTCTCCAATAAACCAAACCATTACTCACTGGTGGATAGAGAGGGGAGCTGAGAACCGGGCCCCCGGGGGGCGCAGCTGGGAAGCCCTCCAGCTGACTGTCTATTATGATTATTAATCACAGCGGCAACAGGGTTCATCTGCACGGAGCTTCTTAATGAACTTGGACTCATGTCCTTACAAGGTTGTAGCCATTATAGCAACCAGGCCCTTTTGGTTTCAAATCCCTGAAGGCTTGGTTGACTGGGATGGATGTCCGAGTGGGCACGTTTGTCCTGGTGCTCCCCCGGGTTATGAGATATGTGTGGTTGTGTTTAGGGCCCAGCAGTGGAAGGGAGGAAGTTCACCTGCTGCGGTTGGGAGACTGGGGTGGGGACTAGGAGTATAAGACTATGCCAGCTGGTGGCTGGTATATTATGTGTGCCTAATATTGATGTGTGTGTGTGATGCACCCATTGTAGATTAATGGTACACGATGTGTGGGAGGTAGTGGGTGGCGGACGTGGGGGTCAGAGTAAGGCATTTTAATAGTTGTGGGTGGACATACTTTAAAATAGGCTTCCCTTATAGCTCAGTCAGTAAATCGTCTGCCTGCAGGAGACCTGGGTTTGATTCCTGAGTAGGGAAGATCCCTGGGAGAAGGAAATGGCAACCCACTCCTGTATTCTTGTCTGGAGAATTCCATGGACAGAGGAGGCTGGCGGACTACAGTCCATGGGCTTGCAAGAGTCGGACACGACTGAGGGACTAAAACCACCACCACACTTTAAAATAGTATCATCTCTATGAGGATTCCACACATTTGAGTATCCAGGTGCATCACAAGTAGGAAGACTCTAGAATTTCTTGCCCAAACGAAGAGTTTTAAAGTAAAAGGGGGCATTATTAATAGTTTGCCTCGACCACTCACATAAAAGAGGATTGCTCCAGGCGATCAGAGATGTGTGGGAAGTCTGTTTGTAAGCCACCCCTGAATGGCTTAGATATGTTTTCCACTGTATTGGGTGAGTTTATGCTGAGAGGGAGTCTGTCCGAGTTAGAACTTAGAGGCATGGGCGAAGGGTTGCCTCTTGGTGGCCTCATAATTGTGATGTAGGCCCCAATTGCTGCCACGTGCTGGGAAAAGCAGTCCATGGACCCTGCCCTGGCTCACTGCTCCTGTTTCACAGATGTCCTGGTGGGGCAACCAGGTCTTGATACCTGGGGAGCTTTGGCACACACTCTAGGTGTGTGTGCTCGGTCACTTCAGTTGTGTCTGACTCTTTGCAAGCACATGGACTGTAGCCCACCAGGATCCTCTCTCTGTGGGATTCTCCAGGCAAGAATACTGGAATATTTTTGTGGACTATTCCAGGAGGGAGGTTGCCACTCCCTCCTCCAGGGGATCTTCCCGACCCAGGGATCGAACCCATGTCTACTTCATCCTGCACTGTAGGCAGATTCTTTACCCACGGAGCCACCTAGGAAGTTTTGGCATGCACTCTAGGAGCCCTAATTCATTCAAGATGGAAAGTGTAGCCAGTGAGCCAGTAGGCTTGCAAGCTCACTGCTCTGGGAGAAGGTGAAGCTGCCTCTGTCTGGAGAGTCTTTAGAGTCATCCTCCGGGGGTCTGCTGTATGTGCCCTGTGTCACGGTGCATGGTGAGTCAGGAGCCAGACTCTGTTTTATTGTAGTTGGGTCTGTCCTGGACTGTTCCCAGGCCTCAGTTTATCTCTACGTGAAACTCAGGGAAGAAGAGTATTTACTAACAAGAGTGTGGAGGTTTGAGATAGCGACTAAGATGAGCTAAGAGGAAAACACCCTTTTCTGTTTCCCTCCATCATTGTTTAATCCTGCAGCCCTGCAGTTCTCTTACGTGTCAGGTCACCTTGTCTCTAAAACCCTACATTTTGTTCCTGGGAGTTCTTCCACTTCAGCAGTGGCAGCCCTGAGGTTTGGGAGGGAAGAAGAGTGGAGCCTCATCCAAATCTTGGCCTGTATTTTCTGAGTGGAGGTCCCGGCCAGGGGCCCTCATTGTCTTTCTGGCTCACCCTGTGATTTTCAGCAGGCAGTGTACTTCCTAGTTGCTGTTTAGTTGTTAAGTCATGTTCGACTCTTTTCAATCCCATGGACTGCAGTCTACCAGACTCCTCTGTCTGAGGAATTTTCCCAGTAAGAATACTGGAATTGATTGCCATTTACTTCTCCAGGGGATCTTCCCAGGAATCAAACCCACATCTTGGGCACTGGCAGGCAGATTCTCTACCGGTGAGCCACCTGGGAAACCCTGTGCTCCCTAGAATATCACCTAAAGGATTCTGTGCAGGCTGCTTTCCCCAGAGGCCCTCTCTCCCACCTTCTTTCTGAAAACCAAGAACTCCCTGGGCCGTAAGCAACTAGATGTAAACAGAAATTAATCCATCTGCAAAACCTCAACATGTCACCTGATCCTTATCAGGGCCTCATAATCGCCTCCAAGGAAGATCTTATTATATTAAAAAGCAATTGCCCTCCAAGCCGGTAGCACTAATAGATTTTCTGTGATATTTATACCAGATTTAGCTTTCGGCTGACGAGATGCCGTTCCCTTCCTCCTGCCTCTGCCTGAGCTCCTTCGTTTTTGCATAAGCCTCCTGCAATTTCAGTTTCTCATAGGGCCTCTCTCTGCAAGATGAGAAGCCCCATGAGGCCATCTGTCTGGTACAATGTTGCATCACCTGAGTTGGAAAAATGCCTGGCATGGAGCTGGCATGCAGTTTCATTCATCCATCCAATTCATTCGTTTGTTCATTCAACAAAGGGAGTCAAATTATAAACAGGGAAAGGACAAAAACAGATAAAATAATGATAAGTAGTTATAAGGACTTTGGAAGAAACAAATAGGGTGTTGAAATAGAAGATAATCAGGTGGGGGGGGGGGCCCTTACTCTGAATGGAAGGTAGGAACACCCACCCTGAGATCTGCTGGGTGACAAGGAGCCACCCCGAGTGAGCAGAGGGGAGAGTTTCTAAGCTGCGGGATCAGCTCTGTAGGGCGTTGTTGTTGTTGTTGTTCAGTGGCTCAGTCTTGTCTGACTCTTTGCAACCCATGGACTATAGCACGCCAGCCTTCCCTGTCCTTAACTATCTCCCAGAGTTTGCTCAAACTCATGTCCATTGAGTCGGTGATGCCATCAACCATCTCATCCTCTGTTGCCCCCTTCCCCTTTTGCCTTCAATCTTCCCAGCATCAGGATCTTTTCCAATGAGTCGACTCTGCATCAGGAGGCCAAAGTAGTGGCACTTCAGCATTAGCTGAAGTCCTTCCAATAAATATTCAGAGTTGATTTCCTTTAAGATTGACTGATTTGACTTCTTTGCTATCCAAGGAACTCTCAAGAGATTTCTCCAGCACCACAGTTCAAAAGCATCAGTTCTTCAGCGCTCAATCTTCTTTATGGTCCAACTCTCACATCTGTACATGACTACTGGAAAAACCACATAGCTTGACAATGTGGACCTTTGTCAGCAAAGTGATGTCTGTGCTTTTTAATATGCTGTCTATGTTTGTCATAGCTTTTCTTCCAAGGACAAGTGTCTTTTAATTTCATGTCTGCAGTCACACTCTGCAGTGATTTTGGAGCCCCGGAAAATAAAGTCTGTTGCTGTTTCCGTTTTTTCCCCATCTATTTGCCATGAAGTGATGGGGGTTATTACGTTGGGATAAAGCTGAACACCTTTGAGGGCCTAGGAAAGGCTCCCTGAGGATAGAACTCTGTAAAGGGGAGTGTTTGTTGGGTTTGGAGAGGTAAACCATTTAAAAAATATCTATCTGGTCAAGACACTCCAGGATGTGGTTGGTGAATAGAATTTGGAATCCCTCATACTCCAAGCATAAGGATCTATATGATCTAGAGGAAAAGGCCCTGGGAAGTCTGGGTTGTGGAAATGAGAAGTCGAAGTGGTGAGGAGTGCACTTTAAACAATGGGTGCTGGGCAGTGGGTTGGATGCCAAAACTTCTTGGTCCTTTTCTGCTCACACTTCAATGGGCACATCGTTTGCTTGTGTCTTTGGCTTGTCTATGGGCTTCCCTGCTACTCAGACCGTAAAGAATCTGTCTGCAATGCAGAAGACCAGGGTTCAATCCTTGTGTTGGGAAGGTCCCCTGGAAAAGGGAATGGCAGCCCACTCTAGTATTCTTGCCTGGAGAATTCCATGAACAGAGGAGCCTGGTGGACTAGAGTACCTGGGGTTGCAAAGAGTCGGACACGACTGAGTGACTAACACTAACATTATTCTCTTCCTCTATGCTAACAAACATGACATATCTATAAACAGTGCATCTGGGCCCAAGTGGCTCTTGCTTAGATTGGAACAGAACTTGAAAGCAGGACCTTGCTGAAGACTCGTGATGAATTGATAAGACTCAGTTTTCAAAAAAACAACCATGAATGTAACAGTGGCAGTAGCAACCCATTCCTACATTCTGGGGCCTTTGGTGTCGGTACATTGAAAGCAGTTTCAAGTTGAGATAGATTTGGTGGCAAGAGCCAAGCCTATAAAATGTCTTTTACTGGTCTTGTCAATTGCGCATCAGAACTGTTAATAGTTGTTGATGAAGGATTTCAGAACTGAGGCTCAAGTAGGAATGAGAGGTGCCAGCATGCAATCTCATTGGTGGGAATTACTTAACAGAGACAGGGAGATAGAATCTGTGTGGAGCATCAACCACTCCAGGAGATAGGGGTGGGGGAGATTTCATCTGCAGTTGGGGGGAGAAAATGGAGCAAATCATTAATGAGAAGTTAAATGACCCACTTTCTCTGCCAGATCTGAATACATTCAAGTGAAAACATATGAGCACAAGCTTGTTCCTTTCATTCTGTTTCTAAACATTTCTTTGCGTTAACCACCACCTCCCGCCCTGCCCTGAGTTCCTTTCATCCATGACAGCCAGATAATATCAAGGGCAAACATAATCGGGATGATGGCCAAGACACCAGAACTTTTTCAACAATACACTACTGAAGACTGGGGCTTGCCTCCTGGGCTGTTATCTCCTAGAGTTCACGTCTGAAATTTTAGCTTTCAGCAGAGTCCCTGCCTAGGAGGGATGCTAGACTGCAGTGAGGGGATGGACAGACGGACTGACAGACAGTCAGAAAGGGTAAGACCTAGAGTCCAGAGAGGTCCTTGACATCTTCTACATCTCCTGATGAAGAGTCTGTAAAGCTATAACTTGATGGTGGTCTTTCTCAGCAGAATCTGGGGGTGGGGTGAGTTCTAGGAGAGGGCAGGCCAGAAAGACAATGGTTTTACTATCAAAAGGCAGCACTTTGACCTCTCCTTCCCTGAAGCCAATCTCTCTGGCCTCCATCTCATAAACCGGTCTCCCACACACAGCGAACAGAATGCAATCCTGCTAGAGCTCTCTACTGATAGGAATGGAGGTGATAATTCCATGATTCTCCCATGGAGGGGAAGGGGTTAGGCTAGGTCTGTTCCCAGCTGTCCGTATGATAGATGAGGTGACCCAAGGCCATCTGCTCAGCATCTCCATCCTTCTCTTCCCCTTAGAGCCAGGAAAAGCATCTCTGCTTCCTTCTTCCTCCTCAAGATGCCAGGTGGGAAACACAGTGACTGCTCAGTAGCTGCTGGAAGAGCCCAGAAGGAAGGATGGTGATGCTTGTGTGATACTTCAATGTCTGTTCACTCAGTAGGACTTTCAACCCAGTCGGTAAGGAGGAAATGGTGAGCCCTGCAAAGAAAGCAGGGGCATGGGGCAGATGACACAGCCTACTTTTCTTACCTGTTTGCCATCACTGTGACCTTTTCCTCACCTCCCCCAAGCAGTAGGGACAACTGGGTGATCCAAACCAAAACTTGTCCTTATTGGTTTTAAACCATCCTGGTTATCACATACAACTCTCTCCTTAAGGATTTTCAGTCTTAGCTTCTCTCAGCCCAATAGATTCAATTTAGGTAGAAGGCACATGAGCGGTCAGACTCAAAACATTTCACCAGCAAGGGCATAAAGCCTAATGCTGGATCCTGGAGGTTCCCTGCAGGACCAGACCTTAACCCTTTAGGTGATGGATGTTAGTGAGGTCCTTGAGCAGTATTCTAGCGGGAGAGACTGGGCTGCTGGGCAACAGGGGAGGTGTTGAAAGGCAGTGGCTACTTACCAACCAGTGTGGAAATATTTCGCTATTTTAACTTCTATCCTTCCTAGCATATATAGACCAAATATCAGGTCTAGAAGCAAGTCATTATTTTCTCTGAACTGTAGGAAAGATGGTCAAGGTCCAGAGGAGAGAGGCAGTCAGCCCTCTATCTGCGGATGTGGAACCTGTTAATATAGGAGGCTGACTGTACTATGTTGTTGCATATAAGGGACTTGAGCATCCGTGGATTTTGGTACCCGTGGGGGTTCCTGGGACCAACCCCTTGCAAACCCCAAAGATGACTGTGCAATCACACGAGATTATCCAGTTGTGGAATTCCACCCTGGAAGGGACCTGAGAGATCCATTCATCCTCTTGTCCAGGGTAGGAAGCCAGTTTCTATGTGAATTCTCCTCATTTCTCCTCCCCTGTGAACCATCCAGGTGCAGTGGGATTATCCAGAGAGGGGAAGACATCAACACCACATCAACACTTCATTGCCAGATAACACCACTGAAGAACTGGGACTCAAGGACTTGAGATGACTACAAACTGGGAGAGGGGGCTTCCATGCTCAAAACAGAGAAGAGCATCCATGGGGTTTGGTCAAGGGGGGGATGCTGGGGGGCTGGAGCTGCTGAGGAGGTTGTAGGATGTGAGATTTGTCCTGCTGTCCCAGCATGGGTCATCATGCTGTCTGCCCTGGACTCGCAAGATTAGCTACAGCCAGGCTGGTGGATGGAGACTCAGGGCTGAGACCCCACCTCCCCCAACCGCCATTCCTGGTTTCACAGCACAGCTGCCAGCAAACCCGTTCTTTTGGGTGTTTGGCTCCAGATGTCCAAACCCAAGGACATCATGTCAGCATGTTTCTCCGCTGACTGTAAAAGAACAGCTGCATCTTCTAGAAGACCCTTCCAAGTCCATTGCTTGTTAGGATGATTATAGTGTTTTACTCGTAAGCTGGTTACGCCTCTTGGGCCCCTTTTTGAGATTCCATCCTCGAACACAAGGGGATGATATTTTGAGACACAGAATGTTAGAGGAGAATGGATTTTGGAGCTCATGTGATCCTACACACTCATTAGTGATTGAGGGGAGGGGTGATGGGTAGTGGAGGGAGGGAGGTAGAAAGGTCACATAACTTCCTTGAGGTCACCTGCAGATGTGGTTGGTGGCAGAGATGTGACTGGTCTTTTCCCTCTATAACATACTTTCTTGTTCAAAGTTTTTAAAAAATGAATTTAAAACGAAAAATTTTTAGTTTTATTCCAGAAATACAGAAATGGATAAAAGAAAGATAAAAGGAAATGCATACCCAGAGTGCTACCACCCCACGGTCATTGTTAATATTTCCTTCCAATTTTTATGTTACTTATTTTTCATAGTTAAGGTTATTTTATATACTATATACTATATATATATATATATATATATATATATATATATATAGTCTGGAAAGAAAATCATACACACACAGACACACACATATGAAACCTTGTAACTCAAGTAATTTCCTCACTTGTAAACTCTTCATAAACATAATTTTAAACATGTGCTTAATATCTATCATGTGCATGCAACATAATTTACTTATCCACTCTCTTACTGTTTTATATTTAAGTTACTTCTCATTTTCAGATGATAAATAATGCTAATATAAAAATGATTGTGCATAAAGTTTTGCTTTCCTTCTTTTTAATCTCTGTATTTCACACTATTTCCTTTGGCTAGATTCCCAGAAGTGGTGTTTCTAGGTCAGAGGGCATAAACACATTCAAGATTGGCTATCTATTACTAAATTGCTTTCTAAAAGTATTGTTCCAATTTATGTTCCCACTAGAAAGCTATGAAATTTTATTAAATCTTTGCTAATGTGGTAGACAGTCCTCATTTCCGATGTGAAAAATCTCAGTGTTGTAAGTTTAAGTGTGGCTGTGAGGCAGCCAAGGATTGTGATATGAATAAACTCTTTTCTTGAGCATTTTTGAAAATACAACAAAGCCCTGGAACCCTCCCCACTCCCCCCACCCCCCGCCAGAAAGCAAAAGAATTGACCCCATTCAGTTGAATTGACTAGGGCAAACCCCACAAACTAATGCCTGCACCCCAGACCAAGAGAGATGTATTGATATAGCCTCAGGAATTTTTTTAAAAGCTGATTGGTCCCTTGAGACACACTGGACTGTGGGATCTGAATGGTGCATGTGCCTTCGTGCCTCTGTATAAGTGTGCATGCCACCAAAAAGCATCTCCATCCCTGAAGGAAACCCTGAGAGCTGGATCAATGGACTCTTGAACACGTGTTTCCCAGTAGGAAATAGGACTGATGCCCCATCCTGTAAAAATCACCAGGATGGCTCATCGGCTTCTATGAAGTGCCCCCTCAGTCCATCTCAGCCCTGCTGTTCAGAGAACAGCCCAGGCCTGGGGGGTGGGGTGTCCCAGCAAGGGTGAGGCCATCTTAGCCAGGCTCAGGGGGATAGGCCAGCTGAGATAATGAGCCCCTGCTGATCACAGGGAGGTCTGGCAGGCAGGGACCACTCAGGACAAATGAGAGTGTCGATATCTATCCCTCCAGATCCATAAACCCAGGACAATTAGTGTAGGTATGACTAGAGGCCCCGTGCCTTCCAACTTCACGTGAAATGTGAAGATGCTGACGTGATTTGTCCCCATAGAAGCAGATATCCCACGTGGCCTTGCTTTCCTTCTCTTTAGAGAAGGAGGAAATGAGGCCTGGAAGGTTGAGTTTTTCCCTCAAAACCATCACCTACTCCTTTTCAATTCTCTTGAGACACCCTCAGCCTCCTCTGCTAATACATCAGAGGGTAAACCTTGGAGTATCAGAAACTTGTTCTTTCTTTCTTCTGTTCGTGAAGGGTGGTGTGGGATGCTGAGGCCAGGGGAACACATCACCTGAATTCTAGCCCCTGACTCCAGTAATCCATGTGTTTCTAAGCAAGTCATCAACTTCCCTAGGTCATGCTCTTCTTACCTGAAAATAGGAGTCTGGATTATGTGAACACTTGTCCTCTCTAAAAGTTTTATAAGTTTGTAATATGAGAAAAAAAAAATCAGGTATGCCTAGATACTTTCCTTCTTGCCAAGAAGGAAACAGCTGCTGTGAATCCAAGAGGCCAGAGAAACAGTCCTTTTTCTCTGTCTCATGTGGGTGTCCTTGAACATCGAAAAGAATTAAGGGTGACAAGCACATGAATTAGAAAGGGCCTGGGTTTCTGCATTCCTGAAAGTCTCAGAAGTGAGGGAAAACCTCTGTTGGAGTAGTTTAGTACCTGCAATTTCTAAGAAGTTCTTGGAGTACATGTGCCTTACCAAATGCAGCTTCTTTCACAACCCACGTGGACGGTGCATGCATGGGGTCTCCTGGCAGGAGGAGTGTACTGTGCTTTTTAAATGGGCCAGCTGAGGTCTGTGCTGAGAGTTAGTCACCGGAATGATACAGAAGTCCTTCTCCAAAGTGGCCCAGGCCTCTGGAAAGTCCTTGTCATTCTTCAGTTTAGCCCTAGTGCTATTCTGTCTCTGAATATGTCAGATAGTCTGTCCCTCCAAAAATCAGGGTCTTTGCTTACTTTGCAGCCCTGTGGAGTTATTGCCTCTCAAACAGCACTTTCCAAACCAAGGTCACAACCTCTCAGCAGACCATTAAGTCAATGTCATGGGCTGGTCCCAATGTTTTTAAAAATGAAATGGGATAAGAAAATATCAGAGTGCATTCCAGGAAGCTAAGGTAGGACCTGTTTTCCTGAAAAGTTTTGTTTGATTCTGGGCTTTCCCGATGGGTCAGCAGGTAAAGAATCCATCTGCAATGCAGGAGACAAAGGAGATGTGGTTTAGATCCCTGGGTTGGGAAGATCCCCTGGAGGAGGGCGTGGCAACCCACTCTGGGATTTTTGCCTGGAGAATCCCATGGACAGAGGAGTCCATGGGGCTGCAAGGAGTCGGACACACGCACGCATGGGTTTCAATGTGAGTGAGATCTCCTGAGCAGGTCTCGATCAAAACAGGCAGAATTGCTCTGAAGGATGGGTGGGATAGGGAGGATGAAGAATAAGGAGTACAGAGGCTCCCTGTCCATCTTCTTAGAGTATTTACATGCCAGGTGGCTATGTGTGGTGAGCACGGCCCGCCAGGCTGTGCTCGGGGTGGGCTGCGTGGAGACGGGGTGCATCCCCTCGGTCCACTGACTCCTGGCTCTGTGGCCTGGGTTCTGGACCCCGGAGACCTGCCTCCTCCCCTGGGAGGACAGACACCTGTCACCAGTCCTTTCCGGCTGGCAAGGAACTCTCTGTCTCCCTTTGTCCCTGCTCCTCTGGCTGCTTTCAAGACTAAGGCGGTTGAATGAAAGAGGAACAAAGTCAGAAAGAGAAAGGAGTGAGTCGAGCACCTCACCGTGAGTCAAATGTGGCAGGAATGGAGTCATAGCTCCTAGAATTTAACAGCTAGAAGGAGCCTCACAAACAGCCGGGTCCTGGCCAGCATTAGGCAAGGAACCCGGTACTTGGTGAAGCTGTGGGCAAGCAATGTGCAGTAGGCAGTTTAACACCCAGGTTTTCAATCGGCAGAGTTCACACTCAGTCCCCTCTGAGTGCTGTCCTCATCCTGGCTGGAAAAGTCCTGGCTTCTGAGTGCTTTGGGGTTAGACATACATCCTCAGAGGGGACTGTGAATTACACGTCCCCCTACCCAATACTCACACACACGCACACCGCCCCCCCCCGCCCCCTATTGGGGGTGACAGGAGGCCACTAACATTTCTCTGTCTGTGTTGCTCCCTCACACGGACCCTGCAGTCCCATCATCCCATCCTAGTCTCAGCCACGAGAGAGGATAATAGTAATAATAAAGAATAATAACATCCATCATGGCGATCAGACTGGTACTCATAGTCTACACTGGGCACCTACCTGAGCTTGGCGCTTTTCCAAGCACTTTACAGGAATTATGTCCATTAATCTTGTACCTCGATGATGTGCCACTTTTGCTCTCACCCTTTGAACAGTAGACCAATCAGGGCACAGGGAAGTTAAAGAAGTCATGGTTAAGGCGGCTCATTGGATCCCAGCCCCACAGTCGGGCTCGGAAGCCCCATTCATAACCACAGCCCTGTACCGTGAGACCTCCCTGTTGCCAGGGTTCACGGCTGGTGCAGGGTGAGGGGATCCGAGCAGCCTCAGCTGAGACCCCACATAAGCCATGCTGGCCTGGCAGTGTTCCGGTTCTGTCACCCGGCCAATGACCCCTGCCAGCTGCCTCCCTGGCTCGGGGCCTGTGAGAGCGGGTTTGCAGCAAGTGGTGAGTTGGTGCAGGCTTGCGGCCCCATCCAGCCTCTTTTTCTGCCCCGGGAGTTCAGGGGGCCAACATCTGGTCCCCCGGGGGTTCACTGGCAAAGTCACTAGGGTGAGTGTCCCCCAGCTCGAGGGAGAACTTTGGGAAAAGTTTCTGGGACATCTCCCCGGGTTTTGTGAAACAGGACTCAGCAGGGATCTGGTACCGTGTGCAGCCTCCGTCAGCCTGTGGGAGGGTTACGTAAGGTGCAGCATCTCGGGGAGCTATTTAGGGTCAGACCTCCGGGTAAATCCTCTGAGGAGGAAATTCTGACCCATATTGCATCGCAGAGGTGCTTGGGGACCCAAGGAAACAAAAGAAATGAAACAAGATCTTCTCTCACAGCCTCCAACAGAGCTCGGGCCATCCTTGCCCTCAGGTGTGACAGGGTCACCGTCTCTGAGCCCCTCGGCCAACTCAGCGGGGCGAGTTCTGTTCTCCACATCACACTGTGAGATCCAGTCCCACTGGGAAGCCGCATCTTTGATGCATAGCTCAACTGGCCACCGTGGGAATGGAGAAGGGGTTTGCCTTGGAAGGAACGCTAGCCGGTGAGAGTCTGCAGGGGGTTCCAGGTGACCACCTTATCCCTCTTGGTCACTCAGGTTCTGTCCCCCCATGGTGGCACCCAAACCCCTCTTCCTTCTCTCTCTGCACCCCCAGAGTGAAGCCAGAAGCCTACCTTTTGGAGTTTGCTCTCGGTCATCGCTTTCGGTAGGGATGAGGGTGGGGGAGGAGGTCAGACAGAAAGAAGAGAAAAAAGCTAGGAGGGAACAAAAGTCCCCATTTAAACCCAGGCCGATGCAGGAATCTGGCTGACGCAGCAGGAAAGCAAGATTAGTAACAAGTGAGAGGGGAATGATTTATGTTTTGTGCCTGAGGATCCACGGAAGACTCCCAGCTGTCACCCAGGCTGCCCAACGATCTTTAGCAGCAATTAGAGTTGGAGACCGGGCCCGGGCCCCCGCCCCCTGACCTGCTGCCTGGTTTTAGGCTAATATTTTCATCTACTCCTGAGTGCACAGGGG